AACTCGACCGAGATCTTGTTAAGACTGAACTGTGTAGAAAATTTCATCGCGATCGGACTCTCCTTTCAAAAGTTATCGTGTTAACGGCCGGACGGCCGGGCACACTGACCGATTCTAGAGTGTACTCACTTTTTGAGTACACAAAACTGAAACAATCGAGGGTATAGTACACACTATACCGAACTGTCTACCGACGATTTCTCTCCAGCTTGAATCACATGGCCATTTAACACCAGGAAACAATGATAATTTGTGTCTAGTAGATGAACCATCAAGGTACTCAATAGAAAAAATACTATGATTTAACTGTATTAGGATGAGATTATTTTTTCAAAAAGAAAACTTTGGAAAAGAAAATTTCAATGCAGAATAAAAAAGAATAAATGAGCCGTTATCAAGCAAGTAATATTAGGTGTGTGTCACTACGATGAGTATACTTTATTGTACAAGCTACTATTTTTCGACCATCAATGCATAATATACGTCAATTTTCTCAAATAGTCAGCAGCCACTTCAGTGATCATCGGTCCTAAAACAGTGCCCGATTTAAGTCGGGTCACGAAAAAATTTTTGAATTGCGGTTTGGGTCTGAAATTTGAACGTTTTGCAGAACACTACACATTTTGAATGCTTCTTCCATTTAAAATCTCTGTAAGAGAGCGTGAAAAAGTTTAGTAGAACAAGAAGTTAAGTGTCGTACCATCTTTTCTTCTACTTCACCGGCTTTTCTTTTTTAACAAGAAACAACGATGCATAGCCAGTGCACTATCTATACACTGATTATATAAAGATCGCAGATTGTACACATAAAAAAAATAAAGATAAACAAGAAAAAATGCTATCGCGTAATCGTGTTATTCTAATTGCAGAATTTCGGAGAAATATCAAGAATGAAAAGAGGTGAAAGATTAATGCTTTGTTTCGAACTACGAAACGAAATGACGAATAAAATGATTGAGAAATTGATTTTCTCGAGAGAAATAGAAAAGTAGTCATTATCAAAGTTCGATTCGGGCTAGATCACGAAAATTTCATTTATGTTGGATAGTATTTTGAAAGCGTTAAACACTATTTGAGAAATTTTAATATTTGAAAAAGTTTTAGATTTTCTAGAAAGACACTGTATACATGTTGCCATGTAATAGCAAGAAAGCATTTATAATGATTCTCATCTTTATTTTTCGAATAAAATAGATAAATTTTTCATGAATAACTAAAATAGGTATTAATAAATAGCTACTATAGATAAGTGAATGAACCCATAAGAGTGCTTGAAGTTGCACTGCAATTATACGACTTCTTTAAAACAGAAGTGAATGTTCGCGTAAAAGTTAGAATAATACTAGAAGAACGTATAATTCGATAGATAGTCGTGAGCGGATGATTAATGCTAATAGCTGGTCTGATTGAATATGGTTCAAAACAGATATAATAGGTTCTTGTGAATGGTAGAGAACCACTACTTGGGCAATTAACATTTTTCGGTTATTTGCCGATTCTATCGTCTCTGTCCAATTTTCCTTGATCAGCATTTAACGAGGGATCGATATTTTGGTAGCTAATTGTTTTAGCATTTGGTGTTGCAACTACAATATCTCCATCAGCTGGTCAAGACCATGTCAAAACGCATGCGAGATATCCTAATATTTAAGCATACACCTTGTACACACGTCTCTTGTGAACTACATGAAGGTGAACATAAACTAACTATAAAAATAAGAACCAATATTGATCTGATGAGAATTTATTCGTAAATTCGGTCTACTTATTATCGTTGTCGATTATCATTGGTATTTTTATCAATTTTTTAGGGCACTGAAGTTATCTATTTTTTATATTCTTACTGATGATTTTCGCTGCCTTAATGGTTCAGGAATATGAGCACGAAAGTTCCCAATTGACAAATTTCTAGTTGACATCAAAATTCTACTGCTAAATACTGAGTTCACATTTTTTTCATGATTTGATGATGGCCTGAAATCAAGCAGAATGAATTTATTATGACCATGATAAATTAGCAAGTCATCAGAAGTTGGGTTTGCTGATAATTAAAAATATTCCACTTCGAATTTTTGAGCTTACCACTCTAGGCTATGTTTAACCAACTGTCAGAAAATCTCGATAGTTAGTAGTTGCCAGTTCATGGTTTCATTACAAAAATATCAAAAAAAAGTTTCTTTTTGTTGTGAAAGTTATGCGAACCGTTAAGATCATGTAACTACTGAAGATAATGAGATATCTAATATCTTAGAATGCTATGTTTAGTATAAAATCCGAACTTCGTAGCTCACATTATCTTTCTACCGTTATTATTAGTCTTATACGAATTGAGAAATCGTTCAATTGTGTTAAATAATGATTTAAACTAAGAACAAATTAAACTAGTCAATTCTTGAACCGATAACATCTGTTTTGAAGCAAGCCAGACAAAACAGAGTCCAGACGTTGTTCAATATCGACTGTTGTGAGTTGAAATACCAAAGTTTTTCAAAGAGTTCTTTCTATGTTCTTCAATCAGCGTATATGGAACGTGTCAGAGTAAAATAGAAGTTAATTCTATTAGAAACTCTAAGAATTTTGTGAATTTCGGGAAGGAAGATTCTAAATGTTTACTCCTCTACTTCAACACTGCTTGTAGATCGTGTTTCACAAAAGCAAAGCCTTGAATTCATAATTAGCATGCATGCATTATTTAAATGAGAATTAAAGTTTGGTTCTTATATTCAGATGGGTCATGAAGAAAAAATGGTTCGCGTTAATTAAAAGATTCGTGGACAATGTGAAATCAAAGCTTTATTAACTAGTCTTTTTTGCCAAAAAACTTGAACTATGTACTTACAAATCACTTTTTAGTTGCAAATGGAAAAAAACTTAAAAAGGGTTCATCAAAATTGTGTTGAAAGAATATGAAATGCAATAATATTTAAAAATAATATTGTTATGAAGCGACTATCAATATTGTAATCATTTTCTAAGCCATTATCAAATATTTGTTTGAGTGGTTTATGTTATATATTCGTATTCTTTTTGAAAACTGTGACAGTTTCTATTTTCATTTGATTATTTTGTATTTGAATTGTAATGAAAATTATATAACTTTACAGGAAAAAAGACATATTAATTATTCTTCGTATTGTAATCTTTCGTCATTTAACTGCATATTTTTTTTATTATGACTTGAAGAATTAATAAGAAATTTGATTATGCGGTAAATTCACAAAAAATGCACTATTAACGTCTATGGAAAATGAAGTAGTTGTTCAAGGTAGTAGAAGTGTAAGCATATTAATCATGGTGGTATAGCAGTATTAAAGATATAGAGCAAAAAAAGCTTTCGAGGTATAACACATCTAATATCTAAAATACTTCTATACCTCTAATAACTTTAGATATAGATTTTGCTACAGCATCAGTTTATTTTATTTTAATATTGTATTAAAATTAAATCTCAAGATTATGTACTGAGCGAAATCCTAAGATTCGTATCTTTTGTTAAACATGTTTCTTTGTTGACGTCCGTTGAAAGAAAGAGCTTACATACAAATTTCTAAAAAAAGTCTTTTTCCTAATAGGGACAAGAGAGAGCACTACGGCTTCCACTATTCGAAGAAGACTATGTCACTGCATGGTTCCATACCATGCTCAACAAGGTCGCATAATGACCAAATTGTTAGTCATGGACTTCAGAAAAATACTGATAGCTCTATGAAGATGACAAAGAAGTTTAATTCTAAGAAATGCACTTGACTCACACATTCAAGATCCATATCCACACTCAAACTTGAAATTTTTATTGTTACCTCTTTGAATGTTACAGATGCAACACACTGGACGGTGAGGGTTTAGATATGGTCTATGAGTACCTGAGTCTAGTACATTTCTTAGAATTAAATTTCTTTGTCATCTTCATAGAGCTATCAACATTTTTCTGAGACCCACTGACGAACAATTCGGTCATCAGCCGACATCGCTGAGTTATACATGGAAACATGCTGTGGTTCAACCTCTTTCTAATGATGGAAGTCGCAGACCTCCGTATCTTCTTTCTATCAAAAGCTTTTGGACATAAAGCGCAGCCGGATGACTTTTGGACTATCCTGCATCTTTGAGTCAGTTCTATGGTAAACATATTTCATGTATAAACATGCTTATATTTTATAAATACACTCGAAATATTGATAAAGACTTATTTATTTATTACTGGTTGTAAATGTATGATTGTTTTACATTCTGAAAATTATGAACGTATGATTGATATAATTGAGATATTTTTTGTCTGATATTAATTGACAATTCGAATTAAATAACATTGTATTCAATAATAACTACAGTTTTTGTTTTGTCTCTACCATCTATTCAGTAGTATCAACTTGAAAGTTGAATTCAATTGAAGAACTACTCCTCAAGTTCCAATCATCTATGTTTCTACGACTTCCACATCGAGAGAATAATTGTGTTTACTTGAAAACTAAAACTTGAAATTTAAAACTAGAAGATTGAAACTTGAATTAAATGCAATATTCAAGTTTAACATATATGCTCGGCTAAAATGCTTTTTCAGTTCGAATTTGATGAATCTATTTCACTTGATTTTTATACTTTACTGATTTCAATAAAAATACTGATTAATATGTTTTCTTAAAAATTGTATTAAGCAATCTGTACTATTGCTAGTGGAAAAAGCTGCAAACATAAGTGTTAGCTTGCTTTGACTAGCTTAAGTTTATTTCGTTTGAAAAGTATATCAAAACGTCCTTGGTTACGTACATATATATCAGACAATACGAGAAAAGAGAAAGAAAGAAGGAAAGACAACAATAAGAACAATGGAAGATAAAGGGAGAGAGATGGAAAGACATCAAGGAGAAGGAATGAGGGTGAATCACCGCTAAAAATAAGGTAACTACTGATATAGTTCTTTATGAAATTTTACTTCTTAAGATTTAGAATAACAAGCCGAAACTCTTTCCCAATATCGCTTTGTACTTCCACGTCGACATCCCATGGGACCTCCATTATGAATACGAGCATAATCTTCACAAGTTGGTTCATGGTCCTTAGTACATTTTTCAGCATAAAGATCCATATAATTAAGTACACATTCCTCTGAACAATTTTTGGCTGCTGCACAAGTTTCAAATGAATCACCTGGTGAGTCACAATCTTCCCAATAACCTTGCTTCAATTGATAGTAACCACATAATATTGAATTGACATCCCATGTACACTCCAATGGTGAACAATTCGATTCAACTTGACAAATACATGCAAGACATTTGTCATCGATATTAGAATTGACCGTAACTGCAATAAATAATAGGCCAAAAACAACTGAAATACTCTTTGATACAATTTTAACTTATTTTTACTGTAATGAATCGTATTTCAATCGTTTATATATATATATATTCGATAATGCATGCATATGGATTAGATAAAGCATAGTAAAATTTGATCTTACGCCAGCATAAATACGCAATTAATTTAAATTTCTAATTCATCTTTTTACGTCTATGATTTTTGAGTTCGTTCTCTGTCTTCCTTTTGAACAAATTCGTATTTTTCTCTCAACATATTGACTAATGTCCCACGTTGCCTTTTTTTACCAACAGCGGTGCTTTGATCGTTGTGAAAATCTCTATCAAAAACTACGGCTACTCCGACGTAGATAAATGCAACTGCGTCACAGTACTAGTATCGTACGATCCGCTGTAACTCACACCGATCAACTATAAGTGATTCCTCCTTATTCGTAATTGGTCACACTCAAGCGCTAAAAAGTCCCTGTCGGATTTGGCGATCTACTTAGAACCAGAACGTCCTATATATGGTTTCGTAGAGATCTTTAAAGCTCAACGAACGGTGTAAAGAAAGTCAAGTTTTCAATGAGTTTTCATGTACCGAGGGTCTATATACTGATTGTAGTTCTATAGGAATATATATAATACTCATAGATACTGTAGGCCTTATGATGATCTAGCATAAATTTATGTGAATTTGGTTTTTAGACACAATTCAATACAGTTATATATTCTCTTCAATTTTTTTTATCATCGATAAGTTTCATTGTTGCTTTCTAAAAAAGATCGACGTTTCCCATAGGTCTAGAGTATTTCTTGTCTAAATGACATTCCAGTGTGCTCAATTCTGTGCTGCAGGACAATTGAGTAACAACGTGAAACTTGCTCTAAAACTGCACATAACTGATCTCTACATGTTTCATAGGTAGTATCTTTCGAAACAGCAGAGTCTCATTCACAACTTGTAAGACAGTCGTCTATAATAGCTTTTTTTCGTTAATGAAGGTCCAGGTATATTGATAAAATTTCAATAATATTCAGCATTGGTACTAAAATATTTTATCTACCAATAATCAATGAAAGGTCCCTGATCATTTGATATAAACAGGTTCTTTAGAAATCGAAACAAAAATGTTGACCCTCAAACCTCTGGAAGGACAGGCATATGGAAAAAAAAACTTTTTTCAATAAAAGCAAGATTTTTGCAGATTCTTTTAGAGTTTCATTGATAGATAATATTTAGATAATTAGAAATGAAATTTGTAATAGAAATTAAAACAAAAAAATAGGACTAGTATTTTGAACCCTATTCCCGTACCCTCTCCAGGGGTCTGAGGGTCAAAAATTATTTTCGATTTCTAAAGAACCTGTTTATATCAAATGATCAGGGACATTTCATTGATTATTGGTAGATAAAAAATATTTTAGTACCAATGC